GGCTCCTGGAGGCCAGGTGCCCATGCACCCAAATCCCTTCTCAGTACTAACAGTGAGTTGATATTCTTTACAATAAAAAAGCTGAGTAATATTGCATAGGAGTACCAGAAACTGCCTCAGTGGAAACAGAAACTATTTACATTAAATAAAAACCTGGCTGCAGGCTGTGTCTGCACATGTACAGCACGATGCATGCACACTGTGACCAACCCAAGGAGACAGCTTCTGGCACTCAGGACCACAGAGTCGCAACATTTGCCACATGAGAGGAAAGCGGAGGGCAGAGAAGGAGGAAGTGAGGGGAAGGGGGGTTCTGGTTCACTTCTGGTTTCGGAGCTGATTGGAGAGCCAGTCCAATCCTTCATAGAGCCCTTCCCCACTGGTGACACAGGTGGCCTGAATGTACCAGTTCCTGTGGCGTAGAGAGTGCAGCCCCAGCTTGTCTGTGATTTCAGCTGCATTCATGGCGTTGGGGAGGTCCTGCTTGTTGGCAAACACGAGGAGGACAGCGTCCCTGAGCTCGTCCTCAGCCAGCATCCTCATGAGCTCTTCACGGGCCTCGTTCACACACTCTCTGTCATTGCTGTCCACCACAAAGATCAAGCCTTGGGTGTTCTGGAAATAGTGGCGCCACAGTGGTCAAATCTTGTCCTGACCACCCACATCCCATACGGTGAAGCTGATGTTCTTGTATTCAACCGTCTCCACATTGAAACCTATGGTAGGAATGGTGGTTACAATTTCACCAAGCTTCAGTTTATAAAGAATAGTCGTCTTTCCGGCAGCATCCAAGCCCACCATGAGAATGCGCATTTCTTTTTTGCCAAAGAGGCCCTTGAAGAGGTTTGCGAAGATATTCCCCATGCTTGTGGATGCCAGAGACCTCAGCAGTAGCCGCTTCAAGTCAGGCGTTGGTTTCGTTCCCACCTCTTTGTCATTACGTATAGCACTGACCTCTGATTTTTGGTATAGAGCTTTGTTTCTATTGTAACCTTAGCTCCTACTGATATTTGGGTGCACATCTACTAAGATTGAGTTCATCCAGTTGTGCCTGCCTTGGGTCTGTCTGCTGCACTCAGCTCCTTCCTGCTGTAGTCCTTGGAAGTGAACCTGTTTTGCCCCTCTGGCAAGATGTTCTGCTCCTGGATTAGTATGGTGGTTCTGGCTCCTAGTCTCTCTGCAGTGACTTCAGCTGCAGAGTTTCACCCCAAGTCTGTATGCCAGGCTTGGGCTGCATCTGCAGGGGTCCAGGAGGCTCAGGGGTGCACATGAGCTCTCCCACACAGTTGCAGGGTGTGAGCCTGGGCTGGGTGTGAGGGGTGGAGGGCTCCCAAGAGAGCATGGTGGAAAGTGTCCGGAGAAGGAGTTGAAAGGTCTCACAGGGCTGGCCTGGGCTTGATCTTGGGAGATCCAACCAGTGCAGGGGAGTGCAGGTACATCAGCCATTGTTAATCAGCTATTCTTGGTTTGAAAATCTGTAACATATGTACTGTTGTATGTTGCCCTGTTTCTTTGTTTC